CCGTTGCTGCTACGACCTAAAGAACCATCTCTTCTATGACCTATGCAGCCGTCATACCTAGGATCTATGCAGCCGTCTGTTCTATCACCTTTTCAGCCGTTATATCTATGACCTATGCAGCCGTCTCTTCTAAGAAATTTGCAGCAGTCATATTTATGCCATATGCACCCGTCTCTTCCACAAAGAGATGCGTCTATGCTCTGGTTGCCTTTGGGTGACTTAATCTCGATAACGCTGGGTAGTAAGTGTATGACGTTTGAGTCTTTGGAACAAAATTGTGTTGTGTGTTTATCTTTAAGTCATACAACCTTATGCGTTGTCATACCCGTCCTTAATATGGGAACAATGCGGTAGAGCAGTTCTTTATGACAGTTGCAGCTGTAATGTTCACACAGATTGCTGGTTAGTTGCCATACATTTATAGAGGGAGACATTCTGTTGCTTTTTTTCTTTACTTGTTTGTTTGTTTGTTTGTTTTGCTCCTCGTAACAAGTGACTAAATAATCGATCCTAAGATTTTAGAACTGGACCATTTCTCTGACAATGAGGCGGAAAAAAATAAATAAATTACAATGTACCCTAGAAACCAATGGGCTTATTTAGAATAAAAAAAAACACAATACCCACACATGACATCCCATGCAGCACATGCACTTGTCAATATTTGACCAACATTCAATCAAGGAGCGATTGTCAATATTGACATGACGACAGATCGCGACTCCAAGGCAGTCTAAACATCTTGGCAAAATTGATCACCGATCAAACTTGGTGACCTTTCAATTAAATCGGCAATTACACGGGCACAGCCCATTGACAGCTACCGTACAATTAGCTATTAGTAAATGTCTCGAACTCCTGTTGACAGGAACTACATAATTAGGTATGAATACGCGCGGATCTACCTGTCGGAGAATGCGAGCTACGATAATTTAAAATCGTGATTAGCATTGTAATTGTAATTTTGGATTCTCTTCAACGAACCATGCGTGGGAACAGCCAGTGGTGAACTTTTTAATTGGAGCGACTATTGACTATGGCCACAAGGCCATTTCCCCTGACGGGTGCAATTAGTATAATGACTATTTACACGTTTGCCGTGCATTTATGAACGAACGGATCAAAGCGTTAAAAGTCCTTTAAGATCTGATTCTGTTAACTTTTCTCTATTTTAATCAATGCATTTTAAAGTAGACTTCACCTATATATAAATCAAAAATGACTCAAAAATCCTAAGTGAGACCACGGTCGCTAAAACTTCAAAGAGTCAAGTGTAGAAATACATAGCGCGGCTGCATTGCGGTCACGGCAGGCGATAGAAAGAAGTTTATTAGCCTCTTATAATACTCTAATGAAATTGTGTTTCCGTAAACGCTCATTAAGAACGATACCCTAGTACACTTTGTACGCAAGAAAACTTTAACAACGCTCCTAGAACAGTAGCCTTATATAAATGTGTATTTATAATAACAATTCTCGTACATGAACGATAATTGATACTAGTACCGATCGGGTATTTCCGGTAAATTCCAAACATATAAATCACGTGGTTCATATAAGACCAAACATCAGGCACGGAAACATCAAACCGGTTCAGCCAGATGCGCTCTCTTTAACCACTGTGACCATGGCCCCAGTCGAGATCCAAACAGCATCACCCGGGACGCAGAGCCTCGTCGTGGCGGCCACCATCTTGGTTGACCCCATCTCCATGACGACGCTCAGAAACTCCGACTACTTCTATTATCCGTTCGGGCTGGCCATCACCTTCGTGGGCACGCTGACCAACCTCGTCAACATGATCGTCTTCCTCAAGCTCGGGCTCAACGACATCGTCAGCTTCTCTTTCTTCGCGCTCTCCGTCTCCGACTTCTGCTACTCGACCCTCACCGCGTTCCTCAGCTACGGAAGCTACCTCATGCTGATCGTCTACCCGACCCAGCCCTGGGCGTTGGACATCGTCCCGTTCGCCGTGAATTTCGCGCTCTACAGCGTCATCTTCAAAGACACGACCGTGGTGATCACCGCCTACATCGCCGTGGCGCGCTGCTGTCTGGTGGCGCTGCCCTTGCAGTTCAAGAGCATCTTCACGGCGTCGAGGACGTACGTGTCCCTGGTTGCCATCGTCGTCGTCGTGGCCGTGCTCCACCTGCCGATGTTCTTCACCCAGGGGATCGGCCACACGTACGACGCCAGGACGAACACGACCCGGATGTACATCTGGCAGCGGGAGGAGAGGAGGTTCACCCTGGCCTACCACGACATCGTCAACAGAAACATAGTCCCCAATGCGTCGCTGGCGGTCATAATCGTATCACTCATCGTCCTGTCGATCAAACTGGCCGCGGCTGCCAGGTTCAGACGTCACATGTCGGCATCCGCCGGCAGCCACAAAGAAGACGCCGCGGAAAAACACGGAGAGAAGACCCACAAGCAGGTGGGCCTTAAGTCCTCGAGGCTGTCCGGTAAAGAGGCGCGGGTGGTCAAGGCGGTCTTCTCGGTGGCCGCCCTGTACGTGGCGTGCACGCTCCCACTCGTGTGTCAGTCCATCGCGAGGCTGATCGTTCCAGAGTTCAATTTCGGGAAGAGGTTACAGAACTCGTACAACTTCGTCATGGTCTTCACGACCATCACCGCGAATTTCAACGCGGCGTTTAACATTTGTATACATTTTACGTACAACAATAAGTTCCGCAAAAACTTGTCCGACATCTGTAAGAAGTCTGAGCCGTAGACACGTGGGATGCAGTGCCATGAAGCTCGACAGTGCGACGCTAATTTGTGGAGAGTCTTTACAAAAAAAAAAATGTATTGTTTCCCAAATCTTTTCCAAAGATTTGCCTTTTTTAAAAAAAAAGTACATTTCATTTCTTTTTTCTTTTTTTTTTCTACCTCAGATGAATATGGAAAGGAGGGAAATGGGGGATGGATGGGGCTAGAGTAGAGTTATTTATGACAGAATGTTATGTCTGATAATCTTAACACAGCCCCGTGGGGTGAGGGGGATATCGGGGAAGACCCATGTTAGTACGCACACAAAAGACACAGTTTTACGCTTATTAATCCTCATCGCCACGATGACTGTATCTCTTTGTTTAAAAAAAGAAACACAAATATTGTGTTAGAAGCAGTAATGTCTAAAATAAAACTAAAAATTGTCATTGATCGCGAGGCGCTATTTTGATATCTCTTAATTTTTATATCGTTTGGACCGCGGGAACTCAAATTTCTCTATCCTCTTCTGCTTGCCTTGTTACATTTATGCACATGCCGTGGATTAAATTAAGACTGTGAATTTTTTAAAATTGTTTCAATCACTCTTTTGCTTTATAGATTTCCAGGAGAGCAGTGACGATTATAAAAGAGAAGCTTTGCTTTAGTTCAAACCAATTTTTCATAAAGGGGATTAATATCTATACACATCATTTGAGACAAAGCTGTTATGATAGACGTTTTAACCGTAACCTTAATATCTGAGAATTTTAGAAAAAAAAATTAAAATAAAAAAGTTTGTGACCTGCCAACTGAAATTAATGTTCAAAACATGATACTTGAAAACCTCTCATTTCTTCTACTATTTTTAGAAAATTTTATTGTGTTCATGAACAAGTGTTTGTAACGATAAACTATGTTATGTCAAACTAATTATTCCATTGCAATTAGAAAATAGAGGAAGTAGAGGAAATAGAGGAAATATAGGAATAATTGAAATTATAGATTCTAGTTTCAAATACACACCGAATTCCAGTTTAAAGTTCGTTCTTCAAATAGATCTATATATATATATATAATATATATATAATATATATATACGTGACCTGGTTAGTGATAAACCTGAAACCAACAAGCCGAACGTTGTTAGCACACCTGATGCAGGTAGCACATCTGATGCAGGTAGCACAAACGTGACAATTTTACTCACCTGGTAACGGTTTCTTCCTCCTCGAGAACAGGTGATACGGGTATGTGCACGAGCTGAGCAGGAACTCGTTGAAGGCCTCCACGTCCACGTTGCCGGCCTCGTGCATGCTGGTCGCCATGGCCCGGCCCGTGGATTTACCCCCGTCTCGGACCACCACGTCACGGGGGCCTTCCTCTGGATTGGACAGTCGGGCCGGTCGCGCCGGTGGGGTTGGTCCAAATGACGACGACGCCGCCGACATCGAGGTCGATGAGGATGTGGCCGATGTGGTTGACGCCGAGGAACCGGAAAGCAGCTGTCCACCATCCGCACCCGTTCCCCCGGGTTTTTTCTCATCGGTCTTATCTCCGATTTGTTTCGCCGTTTTAGACCCCGCGCCTGAATCCAGCTTTTTTACTTTGCCCGCGTCCTTGCCCTTGTCTGAGGGCTCCCCCCTCTGTTTATGTGAAAATGTTTCCGTTTTCCCTTGTTCAAACAGATGCGCCCTCTCTGACACGAAGCCAAAAATACCTTTCTTCGGTTTATGGGTCGTCACGGGGGTTCCGTCTTCCCCGTGGTGGGAGTTGATGGAGGCTTTTGGCTGTGATTTGCCAGAATCCACATCTGCCACGGTCACTTTCAGACCCAGGTCTTGGCTTGAAGACTTGTCTTTACTCTGGAAACCTCCCCAACCGCTGCTGCTACTGCTGCTCGTGCCGCTGTAACTTTTATTCGATGACCTGAGCAAGGATGGCGAGGAGAGGCTTAGGTTCGAATCTTGATTTTTCTCGTAGACGGGACTTTTCGAGGAATTTTGGCTCGCGTTTGACGATGACTTGTCGTGGTTATACGGTGTTATATTCTCGATTTCTTCATAGCTGGGTTCTCTGCGCTGCAGGCTGTAAATAGAATTCTGAGTCTGTTGTTGAGACGAAGACGCGTTCCTGGGCAGAGTAGAGAAACTGTGAGCGTTGGGTGGCGTGTAGTGTGAATGTTTTGTGGACCCTGGCGCTGACGCGGATGAAAGCGGCGACGTCGACGGAGACGGTCTGTCGTAGTGACCAATGGATGGGTGGTAGAAACTGCTCATCGCCGATGTCGACGACGTGGGCAGAGACGATGATGATTTCGACGGTCGACTGGGAAGCTTGGGCGGTCCGTGCGGATCAACAAAGGCCAGGGTCTCGTTGACGTACGTAATGTCCCCTGGTTGGTTCGCTCTGGATCTCGCGCTTGAGATGTTATCGTAGTAGGGAAAGTTCACGTTCTGTTTCAGGTCGCTTCGCAGATTGGGGTCAGAGCCGGACAGCGGCTGTTCAAATAGAGTCAGAGTAGCCGATGGGAGGTGCGGGGTTGAGCAGTGGCCGTGAAGGCTTTGAAACGCGTCGTGGTATTTCTTCAGGTTGGCCTCGTAGCCCAGGGATATCTTGTAATCTTGAGCGTAGGTTGACGTCGGCGTTACGGGTGAGCTGTCGGCCGAGGCGTGAAGGCTGCTGTCGCTCGAACTCGGCAACGGAGTGATGATGTTGGAGTACGGGTAGCTGTAGGGCGGCGTCGAGAGAGCGTGCGTGGGGGTGCTGGTCGGACTGGGGTGAGCTTGGGGCATGCCTAACTCTTTCCGGAGCTGCTGATGGTAGTTCAAGGTGGCGGCTAGCCCGTGCTGATTGGCCGGACTGTGGTGGTGTCCGTGAGGTCTCACGTCCTGGGCTCTTACTTTTGAGTCCTTGTGATGCTTCCCGGTCAGTGGATCTGTGTCGTGATCGCGGGCACGAAATGGCGAGGAGGACGATGCTCGGGTCTCAATCGGCACGTCACAGTACAGAGGTTCTTGGTCTCGTTTCCCGGGTAGCGTCTTCGTGTCTCTGAGCCAGGAGTCGTCGCTGCGCAGCACATTACTGTGGCTTATGGGACTCATACTTTGACTCCTCTCCTCCGATCTGGTCAACAGGTCACACTTTAATCGAAGGGGTTGGTCTCGAAACTGGGTTGTTGCTCGAGGGTCCACCAGAGACCATGGGTCGAAATGTGGAGGTGGAACTGGTCTACGTTTTGGAGTCGATGTGTGGTAAGAGGGGTCCCTGGAGTGGGCTGGGCCATACTCTGTGCGGTCTTCAGAGGGTGCTGCAGACTTCACCGGAGACCAGTTGTGTTCTGGAGAACTTAACCCGTGACGAGACTTATCGCTGGACGGGTGACGCGAGGAGCTGTACGAGGGCTGGCCGTCCGAGCTGAGGAAACTTGTCGCGATCTCGTGCTGGTGGGAAACCCCGCGAGATGACGGGTACCCGGTCCCGCGGGACTGGCGATCGTCAACCCCAAACACGTGGCCCGTGTAGATGAAAGGTGATCTTCCCTGCTGAAGTATATCGTGTGATACGGGATCCTTGTTGATAGACTTGTATCCAACAGGTTCCACTGACCTCGCCCGGTCAGTGCCGTGGTGTCTGTGTTGCACCGAGCTGGTCGGAGGAGTGTCGTAGTTATAGAAAGCATCAGACGGTCTGGATTTGTTGTATTCCAAATAACCCGGTCTTATAGAGGCATCGACCAGCACAGGTTTACCGTACACAGAATAAGGCGGGTCCAGCACATCGTTTGGCCTGGATGGATTACTGCGTCCGTAATATCCAGGAGCTGGCCCCAGAAGTGGATCCCCTGACCTCGGTGTGCTGTATCCGTAATATCCAGATCTGGATTCGGGGACGGTTGGCTGGTTGTATCCATGATATCCACTCGTTTCAGGTGGTGCCTGGTGGCCGTACCCGTGCAGCGATCCATGCGATTTTGAGACCCCGCCTTTATGGTCGCGCCCAGGAGACTGTGAAGAGCTCTGCACTGGTTTGTGCACGGCGTTGATCTGCGAAGTGTACAGGCTGAGGTCGTCGTACGGGTTGTGTACTAGTTCGTCTTGCACGAAATAATTCGACGTCTGAGGGGAGGAGGACTTCACTTGGGATGATGAGGGAGACGACGGCGATGTCGAGTGCAGGGACGCCGAAGGGGTGGCAAGCTTCTTGGCGATCTCCGACGGATTCGGAATGCTGGGCTGGTACCCAACCTTGCCCCCATTGGATGCATTTTTTCGAGACTTTGACGAAATCATCGTATCTTTGTTTTTTTGTTTTTTTTAAGGCGAAGTATCAGTAAAGAAATTTAGTCGGTGATGCGAGTTTCCCTGTCATGCTAGATGTTTCCTAAAGGTGTTTACCATTTTCAAATATTGCACTGAAGCGTCTGTTCACGATTATAAATTATATCACATGAAATTGTACGGCTGCATCCATATTTCACCGTTTCTAATTTGTATTGTGGGAAAAATTAAATTTGTTTCTAAAAGTTATGCTCTGTAATAAAAGGTAATCCTCGATACAACTTGAGATCCACACAAGAGCTTTAATCACAATAGGAATATCACAACATCACATTTCGAATAAAATGGTTAATTTCCTGTAACTGAGCTAAAAATATAAAGAGCTCACTTCAATTAAACGATGACTGTATAGCCCTTAAAGCGTATGATTACTTGACTAGTTGGCTGTAATATGGCTTGTTGTATCCAAAAAAGAATGTGGGTCATTCGTAACATCTGTGTTTGATCCAACACGCAAGAAGAAAGAAATGATGCATACTCTCGAACGCATACCTCGTAAGACACACATCGGACGGTGTGCGATTGGAGAACACGTTATCGATTGAGGACCGTAATAAACTTATATCGGAGAGGTATTTAAATGTTGTCCTGGGGCACACGGACACAACTATAGACTCGGATTGAAGCTTATAGATCAACAGCTCCTTTACAATAAAAAAAAACAAAAAAAAAACAAAAGAGACAATGTAAACTCAGAAATAAGTCAAGTTGCGACCACTTAGGAGTCCTGCCACGAGACGACTTACGCTCAAATTTGATTAGAAGCAGAGGATGTCATTCCAGTTAGGTTTGTTCATCAGGGGACTAAATTTAAGAGTTGTTAATGGGAAACTTAAGTTAATGACGTTGCTTGATTGGTAACAACTGTTACATGACGATGATAAATCACGCCACTCTCATCTCTGTCGTACCGCTATACGAACTTGAAATTTGAAGATGGAAAAAAAAAATGGTATGTAAGAATTGGAATTATGTAGGGGAAAATGTGGGGGGGGGGGGGTGGGGGGGGGGGGTGGGGCCGTGTCCATTTGTGGTTTGCACGTATTGTCCGCCTAGTGCAGTCATAAAAAGGGGTTATTTACCGATTCTTCAACAGCAGTGACATGCCATTAGATGTGGATAAAAGATCAAGTTAACTTGCAGACAGCGCTTTGTAAAGTTTAAATGAGTAACAACTTACGTGTTATGTGGTCCACTTGAAACAAAAAAATATTCAAAAAGTCATTCTCAAAATACCGTTTTTAAAATTAGATTGTTTTGTAAATGTCTGGTATTTTTCAAGTGAGTGTTGTGAAATGTACATTAGTTTTAGCATCTAGACCAACTGTGAATTTGAAAATAAATAATTAAACTGCACAAAGTGAAATGTAAAGGGTTGACCCGTGGAGACAATTTCAGCCTCCAAGGGGGAGGGGGGGGAGGTGCCCTGAGACGTTTCGGTTGAGGAAGTGAGGGTGGTGGGTGATCACCGCTGAATACATACGAGTTTGTTGCCATTATGTACGCGTAGATTACCAGGCACAGATTTTAAGTTCTATAAAAAAAATCTAAAATATTAAAGCTGGACCAATCAGCACTCAAACAGCGAGACACGGCTCACCACGACCACGTGAAGCAATGCAAAGCGGCTCCTTGGCTCGGTCGACGCACATTTGATAAAAGAGCCACCAAGAAAAAATTCCAAAACACATTTCACGGAATCCTTAGTTTCCCCCACCAAGAAATAATTCACTGAACAAAACATTCTGACGAGACCGGAGGTCCGGTTTTACCGCCTTACCCCCTGGCCATCTCCCTCGGTGAGGCGTCCTCCCTCCTCTCAGACCGGTAGCTACGTCTTCTACCGGGCGAAAAAAAAACCGTTCTAGGTAAGAAATAAAAGATGGAGAGAGAATGGAAAAAAAGGGGAGAAAGGAAGCCAAAAAAAAAAAAAAAACTAAAAAAAAAACAAAAAAACAAAAAACGTTTGGCAGCAAGGCCTCACAAGCCTGTATCCTCGATTATTTCTGGAACACTAAGCATCCCAGCCCAACCCCAGCAGCCCTCACCCACCACAAAATTTTAACGGGAAAGCACCAAATTTTTTCTCCCCATTTGTTTTTAATACATCATACTCCTCTCCATCCCCAAACATCCTTTTTCTACCTAGACCCCCCCCCCCACACACACATACACACAGGTCTGGTCTGGTGTACCTGTAGAACAGGCAGAGAACATCGCTGGAAATAGCAAGAAAAGTTTTGTGGCACGGCCAGGGGTTCTTGAAAGTACTGATGCGCATGGGAACACGACAATGAATCAGTTCGATATGATAGGATATGAAACTATATTAATTTTCTAATGACCCATCCGCGTTTGCACTGCGTATTTATTTCACTAACTCTTTCAGAAAACAAAATAAAATATTACGTACCAAACGCACTTGCGATATTTAAAAAAATAATAATAATTAAATCTCATTGAGCGCAGTTATCGGGAATTGTATTTCGTTAAATCAGTGGCATCAGATTGCCTTCATCTTTCACGTGAAAAACAGGAAAAGCTGATTGTTGAGGGGTTTGGGTTGAAAATGTGTTGTCGTCAGCAGTGAGTCAATGTGCCAAGTTTGAGCTCGATGGGTCGACAGGAAGTGGGTCAACGGCCCGACCTAAGATTTCGCCACCAACCCAGACAGAAAGAAAGAAAGACGCGAACAAAAGCGAAGCTGAAATAAAGGATTTTAATAGATGAAGTTGATTTAATTGGATTTTCTTTGTTCTCACTTCAGAAGATAAATATGATCATATTATCTTATCATGCTCATTTGTTTTTTTTTTTTGTGTGTTTTTTTATCAAAACGTCTATGGTTTATTTCATTGAACTTAACACACTATTCGGGAGAAGATTCAAGACGGCTCAGGTAACAATGCGACTCATGAACAGTGTTAGAACCACTCCGGTAACCGTCTATGGCATCCGGCATTACCCCTTTTTTTTTTGCGTTATTCCCCAGAAATCTCTGGGTTTTAAGAAAACGCGTACCTCTTGTGTTATTGTTATGCGTTAGACGCGCGCGTGGGGGCAAAAAAAGGGGGGTCCCCCCCCAAACGACGTGAGCTTGCTTGTGTGAGAACTTCAGATTGGCTGTGTGGTTTTCTTTGAGAGCTGCTGCACAATCTATACACTCTTTTGAACACAATGTAAACGATCAAAGGAATGAATACCGAATCTTCCGGCGGCTGGCTTAATCAATGTTTTATAAATACGGCTTAAAGTTACAACTATGTAAGTGATTCAAATATCACCCGTTTATCAGATACGAAATTTTCAAGAGATGGATATTTTTTTTTTTAAAGTACACACAGTAGACAAACCAATTATGAACAATATTTTTTTCAAATTAATTGTTTAAGCTTCAGTTCCCACGATCAAATAAGCTTTAAATTTCACGTCAAATTTGTGTATGAACGCACTAATTTGTGACAAGGCTTCATACAAAAATCACATCTAATGTTTTATGATGGAACATTTGATAGCGTGAACAGACGCTAAAGATATAATTCTGGAATGTTAATGAAGGCTTTTTTTTCCAATGTGGATTTTTCAAGTAGACTGACCCGGAACGAGGTTGTGGTGGGGGAGGAGGAGAGAGCGAAAGAAAGAAATAATAATAAGGAGAGGGTGAGACTGAGAGGGAGAGACAGAGAGGGGATAGAGAGAGGAGGTAGAGAGAGGGGGTAGAGAGTAGATAGAGAGAGGAGATAGAGAGAGAGGGGATAGAGAGAGTAGATAGAGAGAGGAGGTAGAGAGAGAGGGGATAGAGAGAGTAGATAGAGAGAGGAGGTAGAGAGAGGGGATAGAGAGAGTAGATAGAGAGAGGAGGTAGAGAGAGAGGGGATAGAGATAGGGGATAGAGACAGGAGATAGAGAGAGGGGATAGAGAGAGGGGATAGAGAGAGGGGATAGAGAGAGGGGATAGAGAGAGGGGATAGAGAGAGCGAACGAAAAAAAGAGAGAGTGGGTAAGATATAGAGGAAGTGAACGAGAGGAGACAGATAGGGAGATATAGAGAAGGGGGTGGAGAGAAAATAAGAATGAAAGAAGAAATGCTAATAATATTAACAGTATCTGCATTTAAAAAAAAAAAAAAGGTAGCCAATTGGATGCAAGTGTCTGCGGTTGTTAATTAGCACAGGAGTCGCCAACTCGGTTGGCCGGATGAAGCAGGGGATACCGCCCGCTCAGCGGGTTGCCATATGTTATCTGTACTCAGGTAAACCGATCACCTGTACGACTCGCAGGTCAAAAGGTTAACTGATGAATGAGCTCACCGACGATACTGCCGGCCAGGTTATCTGTAAAACAACAGCACCATTGATTTGCTGGATTTCATAAATACAACTCAATTTTTATTTGTATAGCCAGACAGTCTTAACCACCACTTTCCCATCACATACACACACACCCATGCACCACACTTACTCACACAAAAAACACACCATCTCTCTCTCTCTCTCTCTCTCTGTGTCTCTCACTCTCTCTCTCTCACACACACACACATATACACACACACGTATGTCAGGCTGTCCAGTCGCAAACACATTTTTTTTTTTTTTTCAGTGAGAATACCTATATTTATTTTTGTTAT